TTTCAACAAACCATTCGTCTAGATCTTTTGGTATATGAATTAAAGGAGGTTGAATTCTGAATGTGCAGCTTCAGTATTTGGGGACTAACGAGGCAGGAGAGGTTCCAGGTATATTTCTGGCTCTATTTTCACAATGAATGTACCATGGAGATGTTTGGCTATTTGAGTAAATAGAGATTCTAGGAGCTCTAACAAAAGAAGAGGAACAAGGCTTCCCACCCCGCTTCCATCTTACTTCTTCCAGAAACCGCAGAAAGAGCGAAAGGTTCTCTCTTACTCGAGTTCCAAAGCTCAGGGGCCTCGAGAAACCCGAAGAAGCGGAGGGAAGTGCATCCTCATGCCCAAGCAGCCTGTGGGCAGCCATGGGGCTGTAGAAGGGAAGAGCAGTCAGATCCATCCACCTTGTTATTGGCAGACTGGACAATTGATGCTAAACTCGGCTTCATGGAAGCATTTTTATTATTATTTTTTTTTAAATTAAATCAGATCTGACAATGTTTGTACCGCAGCGTAAACGCCTCCGCCTTGGCATGCCAGTCACCTCTAAGCGATCTGACAAACTCCAGCTCTCTTAAAACGTGCAGAGTTCAGATCATATTAATTCCCCCAAAATGTTTTGATTCAAAGTAGTTTGTATTTTGTGTAGCCACGGGCAATCCGGAAAGCGCTCCTGCCTGCCGGTGGCCGGGTCCGCTCCCTCTCCGCGTGGCCCAGAGGCTATGGAGGTATTTAAGCTTCTGAAATTAGCCTGGGGCTGCAAAGCAGAGTGATCACAAAGCGAAACAGGGGCGCTTCCCCTCTTCACTTTTTCATTTTTTTCTTTCTTTCTTTCTTCCTTTTTTTTTTTTTTTAAGTTTGCCATCCCGGTTTTACAAAAAAGACCGGGGCCAAAATGTCACCCACCCAAATATGGAAAAAGCTAGGTTTTCTCATTTCATCTCCATTCTGTTCTGAAGGCCACAGCCCCCTCACCCCCACCCAACTGAACCCCTACCCCTGCGATTCTGATCCGGACCCACACATTATTAGTTTTATCATCACCATCATCGTCGTCATCAACATTGTTCTCCTACTATTAAATTCTCGGAGAGAGAAATGAAAGGGACCAATGCCTGACAAAGGGGAGGGGGCCATAAGGGAGTCTCAGAAGATTCATGGGGAAAAGAAGAGAGGGTCTTCCTTCCTTTCTTTCTTTCTTTTTTTTTTTTTTTTTTTAATGATTAAAAACACAGACGACTCCTGTAAATAGAAGCCTCGTTTCTTCAAGAGATGCCTTTTGAAACCCAGTATCTGAATATTCAACGAAGGCAGAGCTCCACTCTGTATGTACAACATTAATATGATCTCTGCAGAATTTGCTACTCAGAAATATTAACATATCAAAGCCGACGCCGGAGGCGAGAGAAGCTATCGATACCCGAGCACAGGGTAAAGTAAAGATTATTGGTTCTGATGGTTGGAGTGGCGGAGCTGCGGGCAAAATCGCGCACACCATTAACCGAGAGTGAGCGCGCAGGGAGCTGCATCTCCGAGGCGGTGGCAAATATTTTATCTAGGTGGTAATTACCTCGTTGCTGCCCCTTCTTCCACGCTTTCTTTGGCTATTGGGCCTTCGTTACAGGCAAAAACAATGTAACTGTCACTTACCAGAGTCAAGGAAATGGTATTTTGTTCTTTACAAATAGAGTGGCCAACTTTAAAGAACTGATACTCCCTCCACCCCATGCACACACCGCTACAAACCAGGACAGCCTCTCCCTGGGGGAACTCATGTAGGGCACTTAGGGATCTGTCTTTCCTTAGGGGTCTCTGGAATTAAAATCTATTTTTTTCTCCCACAATAAATTCTGGAAATCATTAGAAATTTAAGTTTATCCGCGGGCTTAGCAGGAGAAGGAAAATAGCAAAAAGTTGTGCTTTTCAAGAAATTATGTTTCATGTGGAGAGTCATCTGTAAAGCATGAATTAGAAGAGAAACAGACATCTCTATCTAAGCTATTATATAATATGGAGATATGGCAAAGTGCTTTAGTTCATGTCTTCTCAATTTTTGAAGAACAAAGGTGACTAGAGCTATTGATATTAGGAATCCTGTGCACTACCATGGTGATAGAGAAAAAGGGGCTTCCACAGCAGTTTTTTTAAACTGGGAGTCCTGAGAGGAGGGGCTGGGCTGTTTGGGACAGGATATACACCACCTTTTAATGCAAGACTTCCTCGATGTCCTTGTTATTTATTGTAAACTGTGGTGAACATTGATCGCTTCAGAGTAAACAGACACACACCCTGGTCTCCAAGGCTATACTAAGTTAACTGGCCTTTCCCTAAGACCCATAGAAATGGAATAAACTCAGCAGTTAAATTTTGAATTTTTTCGCAGAGTTGGGGGGAGGGTATTAGGATTTAGTCACACAATACAGACCTAAACCCCAAGTTACCCTCCTTTCTCTTTAGAGTCAGGCTGTTCTCCTAAAATACCAACATTTGGTTTAAAATAGCAGATTAGGTGCTGATTTTCAGGTGAAAAAAATTGGCACCGAATCCTACAAGAACAATAAAACATCACCTAAGGAAGACGATTTTTGTAGTTCTAATAGGATAGGACCTCAGCTTCCATCTTTTAGCTACCCAAGAGCCGTTGGCCTTGTAGGGGAGGTTGGTGTGGGGTTGTCCCCCGTAAAGCTCTCCGAAAATTCAACTGATTACACAGCCGTCTCTCATTCAGCTCTCGTTCTCGGCCTCGAATAAGTCCCAGCCTTTGTCGGCTATTGTACAATCTGGTACAATTTCCAAGCAATTGAGAAGGTGATCAAGAGCGGAACTGAACGCAAACACCGCAGTAGCGCGTGCCGGGCTCTGGGAGGAGCCGGCTCCCGGCGTTAATTAGTGGCGCTGTCCTTCAGCACCACCGATATCTTCGTGCGCCTTGAGTGCTCGGCCTTACTCACCTTCAGTGTGGCCGCCCCAGCAGACCCGGATCGGCACAGCTCACCTGGCCCCTCTTTCACTGTGTACTTTTAATCCCTCCCCCAACAGTATGTATATTTTATTTGAATTTTCTTTAGCCTTGAGCCTATTTCATGTCATTTCAATATGGCTGAGTGTTGGCCTGGATGACGAGCTTAATATTGCTCATTGAAAAATCATTGAAAAATCTTTATGGAGCAACAATAGTTGGTTTTTTAAAAATAGTTTCCAAATCTCCATGAGATAAAAAGACAAAATTGCATAGTTATTTTATATTTAATAGAAATTTCAAGTATCCACTATCACAACAGTCAAGTTCCAAAAGGAAAGCACTCTTTGTTTTCTTTCTCCCTGAATTTAAATGGAGTTTCACACTGGACATGGGGTTGTAAACCCTGCAGTTTAAACATGAAAGACTCCATTGCTTTCTATCGATGCATTTCTTTCTTTGGAAACACATTGGCATCTTTAAATGAGCTCTGAAAGAGATGAAGAGGTACTGAAGAACATTTATTTGGTGCCATCAGAAACTACTCAGTCTTTAGTGGTTCAGTTACTAAAGACAACTGCAGCCCTGGAGCAGGAATTAGTCCTGGTGAATAGGCCACATCTTATTAATTCGTATGAAGTTGGGATAACAGCTGGTCCCCCTTGCCTTGTGTGATCCTAGGGTTACACGACTTGCTAGGAAAATAAGCTTCATAGGCTGTGGGTACAGTTAAGTGGGAAGCCAGCAAAATCTGCACCGCCTTGAGGCCCTTAAAATGTCATAGTCCAAAAACCTTTTGTCAAAATGGAACATCTGAGATGCAGTCCCCCCCTCCCAAGTGTCTGAGCCAAAATCAACAGCTCTCTACTCTTGCCTTTCCCCCACCTTCCAATTCCATGGGTAACTCTGGATTCAGATGTTTTCCTCAACAGATGGGAACAAGAAAGCTTTATCCGGTACAGTTAACACCACCTCCTCCTCCCACCCTCCCTTAAAGAAAGAAATGTTCGGGACACTTAGAAAAATAAGGGCAGCTACAATATTGGTGTTTCATTAGCCTTCCCTGAAGCCACAATGAATCTAGCCTTTCACAGAATCCTTCAAAGCCTCAAGCTAACACCATAACTGCAAACAGCCAGGCTGTGGCTGGCACATTTAGGGCTAAAAGAGACCAGAAATTCTGCTCGAGGATGTGGTGATGGGGGAAGGGGGTGTAAGAAGGATTTTTTTTTTTTTTTGGTCTTGAACTTTCATTCTGTCACAGTTCTGTAAGAAAAAGCAAATCTCTTCTATCACAGGTCTTCTGGGCACAAGCTAGGTTCAAGCATCAGTGGAGGAAGGAAGGCTTTTTAATGTGGGAATGTGGGACGAGAGTAACTGATCAAGAGTAACTGGTTTCTTAAACATCAGGGATCTGATGTTTAAAATCACCTCCAGATCTTTAAAACAAAGTAATAGATGAATAAATAATGTTTAGTTTTAACATGGTACTTACCTCTTCTTATCACTCCACCTTGACCATTGAGAACAAGCCCACACTGGGCTTCCACGGAACCCTTAATAAAAGAAAAAGAAATAAAATCACTCAAATAGATTCTAATAGGTATGCCCACATGAGTTAAGTTTTTCAATCTGCGCCATCCCTGGACTGCATATCCACATAACCCCATAGTAGATATTTAAAAGCAAACATTGAGCTGAAATAAGTTTGGCAGCATGCGTGATTTTAAGGGGAAAAAATGCCAGAAAACTACAATCTAAAAGTTGTATAAATCTTAAGGTATGCATTTTACAGTACCATAAAATATTATACTTCAAAGAGCCTGTGTGTCTTTCATCTTAGCATAAGAGAATGAGCAACCCTTTGAGTCCCCATCAAGGCATATAGCATATATACAAACAGTTTCCACGGGACTTTTTGCATGAAGCAAATTGCACCAAGAGTATCAAGTCTGGCACTGTGGGTTTCTTGGGAGCTCAGAGGAACCATTTCAAGTGGAGGATTCAAGCTACCTCATGAAGGTTCTGCTTTAACCCAGATGCTCCTACAAATAGGAGCATTCCATAATGCTACCCAAAATGGGTCTTACAAAGGAAACACCTTCAGGTTTACTCACTGTAGATCTTCAGGTCCCTAATGGATTGAGGGATCATTTGAACTGGGAAGGAAGAAAGGGTTTGCTGATGCTTGATTAAGAAAAATAAAACTTTCTCTCTCTGTGTGTCTTTTTTTTTTCTGAGTCGAAATGTGTTAAAGGCTCATTTTCCTTTACAAACAAACGAGGTATTGGACATGAAAGAGGCCTTGAAGGGTGTTAACCTACCCAACAGCCCGTGAAGAGTTAAGTAAATGCGGAGAGAGTCGGTGCATAATAAAAACCCACTTTACAAAACAACCTTTACAGCCCTGGCTCCCTTTTGCTTCCCCATTTTCACCATATTGAGGCAGGCCTGTAAGAACCCCCTTTTCAGCCTACTCGCGAGCTCTTTCTTATTTTAACTGTTCTGCTTTAAAGTGATTATCAAATCAATATGAAAAAAAAAAACTTAGAGACTGAGCATAAATTAAAGCGGTGATGGGAAAAGGTGTGACAGTTTCCTTTGTTGGCCATAGCAAATCTTTTTAGGGGACTCAAAGATGGAACTGAAGCCACAAGACTGTTTGCATCTGTTAGGCAGACTTAGACTGCCCTCCAAACTATTGGACTTTCACTTAAAATTCTGTGCAGGGAAAAGTATATTTACATTTGTTGCATTTGAAATGAGGCATATGCTGATGAATGTTTTAAAGAGGAAGAAATAAAAGGAGAGAGACGGGTTTCTCCCACACATACCCTCCCCATTTCTAGTTTCAAAAGTAGCTATGACTGTTTTTCTCTTTGTTTTTCATTCTGCCAACTATGTCCAGGAGGAGTGGAAGAAAATAACTTGCTAGATTTACAACTTGCTTGATATATACACACATATAATGATATATACATATGTAGATGTGTCCATAGACATAGATATATAAATAATCATATACAATACTCCTTAATTTCTTCTAGTATCTTGGAGTGTTTCTCTCAGTATGACTATTCCTTCAGTATGAGTAATAAACAGGAAAAAAGGAGATTAAAATATATAAAAAAAGATATAGGTTGAAAAAAGGTTTCAAAATATCTGAAATGTAGAAGATGTAAGGCCTCGAAGCTCTCCAAGGGAATGAACCGCTTCCCTCCCATTCTCTGGCGCACCGTTAAGATGTTTATTTTCTTAGAAGAAACGAATCTCCGGTCTCTTCACTTAACAAACTTTTTTCCCTCATAAGTAAAACATGTTGTTTGGTCGGATGACATTGCATAAATGACCAGTTGAATGGCACTAAGTCGAAAATTGGATAAACTACGGTGTTCTTTTGCACGGGATTCGCTCTTTGTCTGGTGCTTGCAAATGTTCTAATCCGCTCTTTTGAAAAATGCCCAGCTTTGTGCCTAGCACAGAAAAAAAATTTGTACAGATACAAAAAAATCAGCAGCAGACGTGACTATTAAAAGAAGTAAATAGGTTTTAGTTGAGCTAAGCATTGAATGGCAGATTTTTTCCCCCTTGAGACATAAGGGGATACTTGTGAAAAACATAAAAAATGCCCTGAGCGTATAAAATTATTTTGTGAATATAAATGTAGAAAGTCAAGATTTATGGAGCCAAATCTTTTTTCTTGTGTGCCGATCTTGAAGCTATGGCTCTTTGTCTGGACTGTAAGGGCTTTCACTTTAATTTTAAAATGATTCCTTGCTTGGAGGTAAATGAGGGGAAAAGATTTTTTGTGCGCAACAAGGGATCTCTTACGTCTCCAACTTGTGCTCTTCAAGTGTCTCGCCTTTCATTGTGGAGACTATGGAGAAGGTGGCCAGCTTTGTGCGCACTGAAAAAGTAGAGTCTCACAGGTAGAGCTGCATTTTCAAGCAAATGAAGCTACAAATTCATGTCTTCTAGGTTCTTTTTTGACTATTAATGGGCTTATTTGTTTGAAACGAGGCTGTGACAATATGCTTGCATAATTATAAATTCTATTGTTGCAAAGAATGTGCAAAAATTCATTAAGAAAGAAAATGGGAAAGAGATCTAATTGAATGATAGCCTCCACAGTATCTGAATTTTTTCCTTCCTTCCTCTCTTCTTTCCTTTCTTTCTTCCTTTCAATCTTCCTCTCTCCCTTCATTTTCTCCTTTCTCCCTTCCTGTTTCTTTTCTCTTTCCTTCTCTCCCCCTTTATTTCTTCATTTCCTTCTCCTTAAGAAGATGCATCTTACAGAAAGTTAATGACTTGAAGAGGAAAAATAAAGTTGTAAATGAACTGGGTGGTGGGACTGGGCACTCCTCAGGCAGAGAGAATTAGGCTCAACCACACACCCTGGCCAAGTGCCTTGTTCAGATTCTTTCATTGGGGTACATGTTCTAGGCTTTCGTTTGCGATTCTTTGCTCTCCACAGCAATCTAGTTATCTTTGGTGAAACTTCTGCTAGAGCTCAGGGTCTCAACAATGCCCCCAGAACAAGCCGGTTCCCCAATTCGTGGTAAACTCCCTACAGCTCAGTCTGGGACAAACGCCTGGGATACGCGTGTAGACCTAGCCAAGCGCCCAGACTGAGGGTGCGATTGGTCATCAACTTATCGGGTCTTACTCTGAGTCCATTTGACTCAGCCCCAGCTTCCCTGATCTCCCTCACCCTATCCCCTCAGGGACACAAATGTGAATTCACAAAAGACTTCCGTGCAGACCAACGAAAGTGGAGGCCCGCAGCTAGCCGGACTCTCAAGCGTCCAGGTGAAATGCCTTGATCCAATGAGAGGGACAGAGTGGCACACGCCTCCTCTAATTGTTTTTATAACTTTCCATAAGTGGTGTGTGTGTGTGTGTGTGTGTGTGTGTGTGTGTGTGAGAGAGAGAGAGAGAGAGAGAGAGAGAGAGAGAGAGAGAGAGAGAGAGAGGGGGAGCGAGATTACAGTCAGAGCATTAACAGAGCGGGAGGGGGAGGGCGAAGAGGGGAGGGCGCAGACAAATTCACTGCATGCTTATTTACCTGCAAGTCGTCTGCTCCCGCGGCGGCCAGCCCCAGGCTGGGCCCTGGCAGGAGTCTTTGATCTGGGTGCATTCCATACTGAGAGCCATGGCTCATGAGAGACAGGTCGTGGCGGCGATAGGCATCGAGGCAACCCAGCTCCCGCCTCTGCTCGTCCAGGCAGGACGACTTGAGCGCCCGCGCATTGTGCAGGTTAATAAAGTCGGTGGGCTCCCCGTGGTGGATCTGCTGGTAGTACTGTTGCGAGTGGTGGAGCGAGTTCAGAGAGTAGGCGTCGGGGGTGACGGCCGGGTGGCTGTGCTGAAACTCATAATGGAAGGACTGGTGGTGGAGCGGGGTGTACTGGTGGTTAGTGGAGAAGTAGGGGGACGCAAACTCGGTGCCGGTGGTGGAGTAAGTTAAAGGAGAGGAGGAGGAATAGGCGACAGTGGAATTGGCTACGGACTCCAGACAGCCAAGCTGCATCAAACGGTAGCTGTTTGATCCGTCGTGACGTATCTGGAAGGAAGAGGGGGAAAAGGGAGAGCAGAAAAACTTGAGGTTTGTCATTTTGCAACCAAAGCACCGCTCTCCCGGAGCCAGGAGCTTTCTCTGGCTCTTCAAGGAGAGCGAGCGCGCAGGGCTCGGGTAGAACCGCAGCCCGGGCTCAGCGCCTTCGCCAGAGAGCTTTCGCGAGCAGGAGGACTGGGGGTGGGCGGCCTCGTCCTCACAGTCGAGAGCGTAAAAAAAATCCCCCACCCTATATAGGTGCGAGTGACAACACACACACACACACACACACACACACACACACACACACACACACACACACCCCCTGCCCAATTTGCGCAGGGAGCTGGGCGTTGGGAGCCAGGCTTGAGACTGACTCCGGGGCCGCGTGGAGCAGAACTAGAGTCCACACGCACAGAGCGCTTCGCCACTCCAGCCAAATCCCAGCCCTGAGATTCCGCCGTTGTCCAGGCCGAAATGCTTCTCCAGAGATGCTCAAAATCAGTGTCCATGTATCTAAAAAATCCAGTCCGTGCAAATCGTTCAACTTGCTCACTTCCTTAACCATCTGGGGCAAGGAATCCGACCCCCCTCCCCGCTTCACTTTCCTAGAATAAGCCCATTCCAAAAGGGGTGCGTTGTTCCCCACCCCCTTGTCCACCTACCGTCCCCCCCCCCAATCTCTTTACTTTGCCTTTCTGAGTATCTTTTTCCCATCTCTATCTCTTTCTCCTCATCACCTCCTCCCTTTCTTTATTATTAGGATTATGTTTTCCCCCCTCATTATGGTAAATGCTTCTTAACGTGGCAGAGTTGCCCTTCCTGGCGACAGATGTCATAACGAACTTTCTCCCCTTTTCTTCCTTAACTTCTCCCGAAAGCCAGATTATAATTAAACTTAACGGTCCAATATAGATTAGAGACAGGGGAAGCTGCCACCGCCGCCGCCGCCGCCACCGCCACACACACGCGCGCTCAAAAAAAAAA